AAAAAGAAAAAAAAAAAAAATGAAAGAAAGAAACATATGATATTCACAAGATCAAATATGTGAGATAGTAAATATTACATCAACAAACAATCATCAGTACAACAGTCGATGGACAGCATGAAGATAACTTTTCGTCACAAAAAAATGGTACTTAATAAAAATCGGTCCCAAGCTGGGCAGAAGAAACGCAATACTAAGAATTGTAAATTTAATTAATTTCAACATCTTTCTTTCAATTTAAACATGAAATTGCTAAAAAGCTATTCAATTGAGTAATGGATCTATTAGAAACACTTCAGACGGAAATCAAAGTAAGATTACAAATGATTGACATTGCACTTAAAGTGTACACATAGTTTTGTTAAATGTTAACAAAAAGTCTCCCCCAATAGATCTTTAGAATAATAGAACCTACATCACACGTCATATGAAAACGAGGTATAAAATATTGCATTGACACTAAAATTTCTCTTCTCGAATTAATTTTAATATCAACATGACTCGGGACTCGTTGAAGGCCTGATCTTCGAGGGAATCTGGACGAATCTTTGTAGTCCGCCTCCAAACTTTCTGCTCGAGTCTCTAGGCGTAATGGACATTTTGTCCACAGAATACTCAAATTCGTCCGCATCAGAATTTTCCTGATCATAACTTTTCCTCCCATCATTTGGAATACTCATCCCATCTCCTTCTGCATAGGGCTCACCAATTTCATCTCCATCGCTCGTACCTTCACCATCATCTTCATCATAACTACTTCTTACCATTGACCAATAGACGTAATTTTGCCGGATATATCTTCAAATAGGGAAAAAAGGGGGCCCCAAGTCAAATGGAAGGAAAATGAAAGGAAAAAAAATGCACATGTTCCTTCCAATGCATATTCATGCAATGATATTCAAGCTATTTCCTAAGGCTTGAGAATGAGAACCAGTCGGAACGATCAAAAACAAACTTGTCGCATTTCCTTAATAGGCAAGGATCAAATGAGAAGAACATATCAAATCTTTTTAACCCGCCAAATGCCATTGAATGTCTTCCAAGAGACCAAATTTAACCGGACTTTGAGGCAGAGAAAATACACCATTTACCTTCACCAGCCGATGAAATTCTTCTACTATTGATGGCAAGCACACCTACACAGGCAACCCATGTAACATTAGACTAGAGCTACGATGCGAGTCACAAACAAGTAATAGAACATGAAAGTGAGTTTCTAGAACTCTCGAACGCAATGGTAAAAATTTGATAAAGACCAATCTCTGAAAGTTTATTCTAGAAGGCTTAAACGGGCTGCGGCTGCTCCTACTGGACCCTAGGGCATAAGCCCAATTATCCTTATTATTTAGTTAATAGAATTAGTTAAAAGTTAGTGGGCTCTTAAATGGGCTTTAGGGTTTAATTAATAAAGTATTAGAGTTTAGCCCAATTATCCATTAAAATGATTATTTGGTTTCTTTATAATGTCTTTCCAAACCTAGTTACGAATGATGCACATATGATTCTGAAGCGTGCGAGTGTGCCACTTTGGCTTAGCACATTTGGAATTATATATAGGAGAAAATATTTTGGATCCCACCTTTCCAGCATGTCCACGACAAATAATATGTGACAGTGATAGTCACAGATAATAATGAAGATATGTGACAGTGACACATAGAATCCCCTGATGGCATAACCCACAGTCCAAGAAAACTCTTAATCAGCTAAATTGTTGCACATATAATGGCATAACCCACAAAACTCTTTATCAGCCAGTTGCTGCACATATAATGGCATAACCCACAAAATTCTTTGCCAACTTGCTGCACATACACATCTATCCCTACCCACAAACACACACAAAAAAACAAAAAAGATCGTGTACTTAAAAATTCAAAGTTACTTTAATTTGTTTCTT